CTCCCTCCCCTCTGCCGCCGAGCCCTCCGCGGCCCATGGCTCCTCTGCCCAGCCCTCCTCTTCCAGGGCCACCACGACCTCGGATGCCACCTCTCCTCAGGCCCATCCTGGGCGAGATTCCTCGGCCTCCACGAAGCAAGCTCTGACCTTCAACCCAGAGGGGAATTCAAAGCAGAGAGTTGAGTTTTCAGCGGCCGACACGGGGGCCGCGGGGTGCGGAGGAGGCGGGAACGGGACCGACCTCGGAGCGGGAGTCCTCCTCTGAGCAGGGCTCTGGCTCCTCGGCCCCCACGCATGGCTCCCCGGGGCAACCCTCTCTGCCCCATGGACAGTCCTCTGCCCCCCATGGCTCCCCGAGCCCGGGCGCCCGCCGGCCGGCCCAAGCGTGCCTGGATGTTGCTTTTACCGAGGCGTTGTTTTAAGCTCTTCTGGAATAAAAGGGGTTTGGAGAGAGAAAGAAGTCATGCAGCATTCATCGACCACCACCGAAATGGGTCAAAACCACGTGGGGGGTTGGCTTCTAAAGATAAACCTGAGGGTGACCAGCTCCCTGCAGGAGATGCTTCAAAGGAAGACAATTAAATCTGCTCCGGGAGGGTGGATCTGGGAAGGTTGAACAGAGAACAAAGATCTCTCCTGGAACTGAGCGTCTGCACAACAAGTTCTCAGCTTGGGAAAGAAATTTACCCTCGCTGGAACAGCAGAACAACCAACCTTGGGCTATCTGGCTTTTGAAGCATTTTGGCTCATTTTTTGCCATGTCCAGCCACAAGACTCCAGGCTGGTGAGATACTGGCCCAGCCTGGTGGTGGAGTCACCATCCCTGGCAGTCAAACACCAGACCTGGTGCTTCAGGACATGGTTTAGTGGATGTGATGACCTCAGAGGTCTTTTCCAACCCTCACGATCCTATGACTCCATCTCACAGCCAGAGCTGGCCTCCTGGACCAGCTGCAGCAGCTCCTGTCCTAGCTGGCTAGGTCAGAACTGCTGCAGATCCCTCAGCTCAACCACCAGTTTACACCCCGTGCTGTCAACAAGGGCTGGTCCCAGTCTGGTCCCCCCAGAGCAGGCTACAGCCTGGAGATGATGAACCAATTCCTCTAAAATCAGTCTCTGCTGGAGCTATTAAGATTTTAGGTTTTATTGCCTCCCAGTTTAGGTCATAATTCATTTTTCCAACAGCAACAGCAGCCTGAACATTAGCCTTGCTTTTCTCCACAGCCAAAAGCATTTTTTACAGGGAAACAAAACCCCAGCAGGTTTACACCAACCCTCCTGTGCTCAGCCACGGAGGATGCAGAACACAACCCAAGAGCCCAGCACAAGCTGAGCTCTGCTGGAGCTCAGAGAGGTCCCTTCTGACCCACCAGGAGATCAATGCTCCCCAGCCCTGCTGGACAGAGGCTCAGAGAAGCTCCTGGTGATACCCAACAGAGCCCCTGTGAAAATCCAACCACAACTTCCAGCACAAGCTGCCATCTTCTGAGAGCAACCCAACGTAAACCAGGTTTCTGTCCAAGGCCCTTCCATGCAGCACAGACTCCAGAAAATCCCAAAGATGCCCCTATGCCCAACACACCAATCTGAAGAGCTAAACCAAGCCTAGTTCTTCCCTGAGGGGCCTCAACTCATCAAGCAGGAACTTCAGGCTTTCAATCCAGCTTCGCTCGCCGCTGGTCAAAGTCTTAACTTTTCTTTTTTAAGCAGAAACCCATTTCTCCTGCTGTTTCCAGAGCTTTTGTTTACCAGCTCTGCAAGGCACAGAGTCTATTTTCACAACCAAAATCTCCAGAGATCTTAAAGAGCAGCTGCATTCCACAATCAGCCTGTGAGGCAGGTTTAAATATTCCAGCTATGCAGGGAAGCAGCTCAGCCCAGGCACTTCCAGGGCTTTCTCCTCACGCACAGAATTAGATTTAACTCCTGATTTAACTCCTGCTGCAGTCACATCAACACAAACTCATCACACGGCTGCGAGGTGCAGCCCCACAGCTTTCAGTTTGGGTCCCACATGGACATTTTAAGCTCATCTTAACAGTTTTCCCGTTTAAGGATAAGTTTTAGCACTTACAGAACCCCTCTGTGGTCTGACAACGAGCAGGGCCCAGACAAACAGCTCCCTCTTGTGTGTTCCTGAGGTTTGTCGTTGAGATTTTGCTCCCCTAAGCCCAGAGCTAAAGAGAGATCAAAATCTAGCAGGTCTCAGAGCTGCTCTGCCCACAGCAGGTGATTTGAGGAACGCCTGCAATCCACTCCTCATCAACGTGGGACAACAAAGGCTCTTTAGATACAGAGAAAGTGACACTATGGCTTAAATCCAGGCCTGCATTTGCAAGCAAAAGAAAAACCACCCTGGTTCCTCTGATCCTGGCAGCCGGCTGCTCTTGAGGGAGGGCAGCAGGAGAGGGTGGAGCTGGGGATGGGAGCTAAGGGCTGGAAACCACCCACAGCCAGGGGAGCTGCAGCTAGACAGCGAGGTGAGGCACTCGGCAGATCCACCAACCCAGAATGAGAACACTTCTCTGAAAAAATAGAGAGGAGATATGAACAGCCAGCAAAAAAAAAAACCCCAAAAACCCACCAACTCAATAAGTTACAAAACGTTACTTATCTGAGGGTAAAAGTGGGATTTGCTGCAAGTCCCTCCTAGGTTTTTTTAACTTTGAGGAGTGTTTTCCAGACTCCAGCGTGTCCCAAAAAGCCACCGGCCGTGGGGCTGCCACGTTCTCTCACCTGTTTCAGCTTGAGGGCAGCCTGGACAGAAGGTCTGTTCTCCATCTGCTGGGCCAGTCTTCTGTTTCTGGCACTGGCCAGCTGCTGCTGCTGCTGCATGGTAGCCCGAATATTCACTGGCATCGGCTGTTTGTTCTTCAGCATGTTAGTAAAGCTTCAAGGTCGAATAAAACGGGTGTTTAAATAAAGCTTTATTACATACATTTACTGGCATTTCATGGTTCTCAAGACTGGATCTCCAGAGCCCAGGAACCTTTTAGGTAACGAGCGGCACTTAGGGCACGTCCCACGGGATTACGTGTTCCTTGTTTTCCACAAGTGTGCAAGGACTGGAAACTCAGGAATGATGTTGTGGATTAATTCAGAAGTGATAAAAGCTTTAGGTTACTGAACGGGAGAAATGGCAGAGGGATGAGAAGGAGCAATAAGCAGAGATGACCGTGACAGATGGGAGAGGACGTCACAGAGACAGGAAAGCAACCTGAAATCTGACTGTGATGGTCGAGTGAACCCTCAGAGATGGGAGGAAATAGTTTAAAACCAACGTCAGCTTGATGAGGAGACAGAACCTTAGGGAATGGAACTGGCCTGCAGCAACCCCTCAGCTTTCTGCTGTGGCCCAGGAGCTACAGTGCTGGGTAATGGTTGGATTCCATCATCTTAAAGGTCTCTTCCAACCAAAGTGATTCTATGACTCTACATGAGACTGCAAATGGGAACACTTGGAGGTGAGGAGTATGAACTGACCAAAATGAACGGGGCCAGGGAGGGCACCCCACAGCACATCTCACCTCACTGCCCAGCCTCCGGGGTAAGTCTGAGTACATGGGGCAAAGGAGGCTCAGGGGAGACCTTCTGGCTCTGCACAGCTCCTGACAGGAGCCTGGAGCTGGGCTGGGGGGCTCTTCTTCCAAGGAAGAAGCAACAGGACAAGAGGAAACAGCCTCAGGTTACCCCAGGGGAGATTTTAGTTGTCCCTGAGGAACAATTTCTTGCCCTGGAGGGTTGCCCAGGGCTGTGCCAGGCTGCCCAGGGCAGTGGTGGAGTCCCCACCCCTGGAGGGGTTCCCAAGCCGTGGAGCTGTGGTGCTGAGGGACACGGGGACCTGCCTGTGCTGGGGGAGTGGTTGAACTCCAAGACCCTAAAGATCCCTTCCAACCCAAACGATTCTGATTCACTGCAGCACCTGCTAGAGCAGGAACTGCACTCAAAAGGCTCCTCCATCCCAGGCTCAATGACACCAACAGCTAATCCCAGAGCCATTAGTAAGAACACAAAACGTGACAGCAGCATCACCGTTAGTGCCACCAGAGAAACATGGGGAAAAAAAAAGAACCAACAGAAGGACACTGAACAAGAGAAATCAAGACATCTAGAAGAAAGAGAGAGAAAGATGGAGATGAAGCAAAGCGTTTGCCTCTTACAAGGCCCAAAACATTGTTAAAGGGCCTTTGGGCTCGTTGAGGGGCCTGCTGCACGCCTCTTACAGGCCAGACCACAGGCACGTGTGTCTGCCTCGGACAAAGCAGCAAACCCACGGCAGCCTGGGGAACATGCTACCCTGGTGCTGCTAGATCAATGTAAAAAAAACATGTGGAAGAAAAAACAGGGAGGGCGTGAGGTTTTCTCTCTTTTGGGCTAGAACCCATCCCACCAGATTTAAGGGTCGGGTAGTTTTTTTTTTTAACATTAACCGCTAGGGATAAATCCCTCCGAAACATTTGCCCTTTTAACCTGGCCTTGGTTGTACCACACATTTGTTGCCATTTTTAAGACAAAGGTGCAAAGCCATCTGCTCGTTTTAGTGAGGTTAAAAGAGGGCAGAAACCCCGTTGGGTTTTTTTTTTTCTTTTTTTGGGCACTGGATAGTGATAATTAAGTAAAAAAAAAAAAAAAGTAATTTCTTATGAGCTGAAGCTGCTGTTGGCTTCCTCACCGCTCGTTCAGAGACATCTTGGTGGTGCTCTTTAGCACAACCTTCGGTGCTGACTGTGCAGCCATCTTCAGATCGAGAGAATCTGCAACACAAGAGCCACGTTGAACAGATAACACAAACATCTCACACCTATTAGACTAAATATTTCAAAAAAAACCCCGGGTGCTGGCTCATTTTGGGGAAAGAATTGAGAACGGGGCAGGTAACGGGCATCCTAGTCTCATTTTTACTAAGTTTTCCAGGCCAACGTCGTGATATAGCAGGTTTAATAAATCAGCCAGCTATGCTAACTCATCCTGGCTAAGAAATAGTTTTGTTAGAAAGCCAAAAATTTGACCCTTGCCAGGAGTCATGCTGCAAAAACACAGTCAAGATGTCAAACACACAAAAAAAACACGGTTAAGACACCCAAATGTCTTGTTTAGTGCAGCATGGAGCCACACTGCTCTTCAGATCAGCAAGATGGAACCCTCAGTTTATTTTCAATAGACACAAACTGTATATTTGGCGATAAAATCCCAAGATTATCCAAGTTCCACACGCTTTAATAAGGTTCTATCCTCCCCACGACGATTGCCACCACTTGGACACGGATAAACTAGAATGGGGGGCGGCTACTTTGGCTTTTTAATGCCAGCTCCCTGCAGTCTCCAGGCAGTTCTCCAAGAGAACCGTTCTGCCACGAGCAGCATAAAAACAGCAAAGGGATTTAAATTCAGCTGTTACTCATCTCTGGAGCACGGCTCAAGCCCGAGTGCTTGGGCAGTGAGGAGTATCACCGAAATGTACCAAGCTCAAACTCACCAACTATGCAGATCGATGTGTTTTCTTAAAAATAAAATTAAATGTAATGCTTTAACGACCGCCAAAAATCGCCCATCCTCAAAACACCTCGATCAAATCGCTTCCTTCACAATGTTTTACGGTCCATCAGCTAGAAACGGAGCCAACAGGCAGCCGCACGCCATTTTCTTTATTTCAGTTAAAAATGCTTTTAAACGGCACGTTTCCTGAGCAACAACCGCAGAGGAAGCGCGGTTCCCCTAAGCTCGCCAAGCACCGAGGGGA